CGGCTCCTGAAGTTTCATCCGCCAGGAGTCCACGTCAGTGCTGTACTCTCACACAAGTGCGAGAGTACAATATTTATGTCTATATTAAGTTAGGCAGACTAGATGGGCCGAATGGTTCTTACAGGGAGTGCAGAATTATTAGGCAAATGAGTATTTTGACCACATCATCCTCTTTATGCATGTTGTCTTACTCCAAGCTGTATAGGCTCGAAAGCCTACTACCAATTAAGCATATTAGGTGATGTACATCTCTGTAATGAGAAGGGGTGTGGTCTAATGACATCAACACCCTATATCAGGTGTGCATAATTATTAAGCAACTTCCTTTCCTTTGGCAAAATGGGTCAAAAGAAGGACTTGACAGGCTCAGAAAAGTCAAAAATAGTGAGATATCTTGCAGAGGGATGCAGCACTCTTAAAATTGCAAAGCTTCTGAAGCGTGATCATCGAACAATCAAGCGTTTCATTCAAAATAGTCAACAGGGTCGCAAGAAGCGTGTGGAAAAACCAAAGCGCAAAATAACTGCCCATGAACTGAGAAAAGTCAAGCGTGCAGCTGCCACGATGCCACTTGCCACCAGTTTGGCCATATTTCAGAGCTGCAACATCACTGGAGTGCCCAAAAGCACAAGGTGTGCAATACTCAGAGACATGGCCAAGGTAAGAAAGGCTGAAAGGCGACCACCACTGAACAAGACACACAAGCTGAAACGTCAAGACTGGGCCAAGAAATATCTCAAGACTGATTTTTCTAAGGTTTTATGGACTGATGAAATGAGAGTGAGTCTTGATGGGCCAGATGGATGGGCCCGTAGCTGGATTGGTAAAAGGCAGAGAGCTCCAGTCCGACTCAGACGCCAGCAAGGTGGAGGTGGAGTACTGGTTTGGGCTGGTATCATCAAAGATGAGCTTGTGGGGCCTTTTCGGGTTGAGGATGGAGTCAAGCTCAACTCCCAGTTCCTGGAAGACACCTTCTTCAAGCAGTGGTACAGGAAGAAGTCTGCATCCTTCAAGAAAAACATGATTTTCATGCAGGACAATGCTCCATCACACGCGTCCAAGTACTCCACAGCGTGGCTGGCAAGAAAGGGTATAAAAGAAGAAAATCTAATGACATGGCCTCCTTGTTCACCTGATCTGAACCCCATTGAGAACCTGTGGTCCATCATCAAATGTGAGATTTACAAGGAGGGAAAACAGTACACCTCTCTGAACAGTGTCTGGGAGGCTGTGGTTGCTGCTGCACGCAATGTTGATGGTGAACAGATCAAAACACTGACAGAATCCATGGATGGCAGGCTTTTGAGTGTCCTTACAAAGAAAGGTGGCTATATTGGTCACTGATTTGTTTTTGTTTTGTTTTTGAATGTCAGAAATGTATATTTGTGAATGTTGAGATGTTATATTGGTTTCACTAGTAATAATAAATAATTGAAATGGGTATATATTTGTTTTTTGTTAAGTTGCCTAATAATTATGCACAGTAATAGTCACCTACACACACAGATATCCCCCTAACATAGCTATAACTAAAAACAAACTAAAAACTACTTCCAAAAATATTCAGCTTTGATATTAATGAGTTTTTTGGGTTCATTGAGAACATGGTTGTTGTTCAATAATAAAATTAATCCTCAAAAATACAACTTGCCTAATAATTCTGCACTCCCTGTATCTGCCGTCACATTCTATGTTTCTATATAGGATGCTGCAATTCCGCAGGAACCTCCAAAGATATTATTGTGTGATGAGCACAATTCCCACAGCTATTGTTACTGATGCTAGTTATTGACGCTGCACAATTTGGCTATGAGCCTAATTAAATAAAAAATGCTAACCTGTGACTGTAGTATAATTATTAGAAATGTTTTCCAGATCAGCTATTGCTGCTGATATGTTGCCATTTAGATATGATTTGAGTATATTTGGAGTTTAGTGAATAAACCCTATACATCATGTTTATTCACTAGATTCTGACTTGTAGCAAACTGAAATTCAAATTGCAACTGTGACTATTGCTTAGCTGGAGAATGTCTGCAAATCAGCTATTTTGGCCTACATTTTAATTTTACGATTTCAATGTTACATAGCTGAAAAGAGACTTGCCTCCATAGGCGTGCGCACGGGGTGTGCCTGGGCACACCCTAATCCCCGCAGCACGCCAACGTATTGAGACCGGCAGGGGAGATCTCAGGATCCGAGCGCCGGCTCTGCTCTCAGCCTCGCTCCCCACTGCAGCATGGAGGGAGGGAGGTAGGAGAGGATCTGGGGAGAGCTCAACCAGCAGCTCCGCCGGGTTCCTCTCGCGATTTCTAAGCGTTGCCGCGGCAACGTTCAGCTCTCGTGAGAGTGAACTTAGCCCACAGGGGCTAGAGTTCACTCTCCACCGGACCACCAGGGAAAGCAGCAGGAACAAGAATCCCCCCTCCCTACATAAGGTAAGAAGGGAGGGAGGATATTAAGTAATGTACCCCCACCTCCACCCCCACAATCACCCACATTCATACAGCACCCGCACACACATACAGCACAGTAGCGTACACATGACCCATGGGGCCCGGTGCGAAAATTGATCCGTGGGCCCCCCCTGCGCTTACTCAGCGCGGGTTAGGGCTGCAACACATGGCAGCGGGCACCTGGTCGCAGGGGTTGCAGGGCTGCGACCCCGCGACCGCGGTATGCACACACACTTAAAGGACCACTACAGACACCCAGATCACATCAGCTCAATGAAGTAGTCTGGGTGCCAGGTCCCTCTAGTTTTAACCCTAACGGCTATGTTTCACTGAGGGTTAATCCAGCCTCTGGTGGCTGTCTCATTGACAGCTGCTAGAGGAGCTTCCGCGATTCTCAATGTGAAAATCACAGTGAGAAGACAGTGAACGTCCATAGGAAAGCATTGAGTAATGCTTTCCTACGGGCGGTTTAAATGCGCGCGAGCGCCTCTTGCCGCGCATGTGCATTCGGAGCTGAGAGGCGGAGGGATCCCCAGCGCCAAGGGAGTCCGACGCTGGAGAAAGGTAAATGCTGAAGACAAACACACACACTCTCACGAACAGACGCATACACACTAGCTAACAGACACACACATTTACTGACAGAGACACACTCAGCGACAGACAGACATACACACTCACTTACAAAACATACACTTTCACTGACAAACACACACTCACTAACAGACATCAAACACACTCAGTAACAGACACACACCCAATAACAGACACACTCACTGACACACACACTAACAGACACACTAACATACACAAACACACTAAAACACACTAACACAAACACTGGTGGGCCCGGTCGCAGCCGCGACCCCGGTATGTACGCCACTGATACAGCACCCACACACATACAGCACACACACACACACACACACAGCACCTTCACACATAGCACACACATACAGCACCCACCCACACACACAGCACCCTCACACACACAACACCCTCAAACCACCCTCATGCAGCACACACTCACACAAACAGCAGTGTATGTGTGTGTGTCTATATATATACATATATAGACACACACACATACATATACACGCGGCGTGTTTGTGCTTTAGGGTGCACACCCTAATGCAATAGGCTGTGCACGCCTATGCTTGTCTCCATCAAGTCCAGCCTTCCTCACATATGTTTTTGCTGTTGATTCAAAAGAAGGCAAAAAACCCAGTCTGTAGCGCTTCCAATTTCGCAACCAATTAGGACAAAATTCCTTCTTGACCCCAAAATAGCAGTCAGATATCTACTTGGATCAAGCAGCTATTACCCCACTAATTAGAAATTTATATCCCTGTATGTTATGTTTTTGCAAGTATTTATCCAATTACAGTTTAAACATCTGTATAGATTCTGACAAAACCACCTCTTCAGGCAAAGAATTCCATATCCTTATTGCTCTTACTGTAAAAAAAACCCCTTTTCTTTGCCTTAGATGAAATCTCCTTTCTTCCAGCCTAAATGCGTGACCTTGTGTCCTACGTATAGCTCTGTTTATGAATAGATTTCCAGAGAATGGTTTGTACTGGCCCCGAATATATTTGTATAATGTTAACATATCCCCTCTGAGGTGCCGATTTTCCAAACTAAAGAGATTTACGTTTTGTAACCTTTCTTCGTAACTAAAATGGTCCATTCCTTTTTATCAATTTTGTAGCTTGTCTCTGCACTTTTTCTAGTGCCATGATATCCTTCATTAGAACAGAGGCCCAAAATGTGCAACAATTTGAAGCTTAGTGAATACACCATGAATAAGAAGTGTCATTTCTACATCACTGATGCCACTGATACTTGTACTCCAACATAATTGTTCAGGCCCCATACCAAAGTCACAATATCCCGGTGGATGCTCCAAATGAGTGATAATAATTTGATAATTCAGATATTATTCATGTAACAGGCAGAAAATATGGCTGAATTGCAACAGCTTCGCCCAAGTCAGGAATGCTATTAATCTATTAGCAAATGAGGTGCTATTAAGGGACAAATAATAAGTAGAAAATACCCCAGACAATGAAACAATACGTATTATTATATCATACTAGACTATACTGTGTATTAATTGAATTTATTTGAAAAGAAAAATCCCAGGCTTTTATTTTGTATTCTGTTTTATTTCTCTCTCTCTGTATATCTCTCTCTCTCTCTCTCTCACACACACACACACACACACAATAATGGACCTTCTCTACAGCTTAAACAAATGAGCCTTTACATGACATCAGCCCACGTTCTAATGGTAAAAACAAGGCATTGCCTCCAACAAAATGGCCACCTGCTCCCATTGTGGCGACAGTTTTTGAAAGGTAGTACTCTGGATGCACAGTTGCGTATTATAGTAAATCTTCCCGCTCTGCGAATAACCCAGGGTGTTATAACAGCCTATAATAGGCTTCCTTAGTTTTATTTAGAGCGATTCGCGCGCCGTGCTAATAGAGGTGGGCCTGTGTCTGTGGGTTGGTTGAATGATGGAGCAGAGAGGGTAAAGGTCACCGGGAATAAAGTAAGATGGCGGCCGCCAAGCGTGTTTTGTACGTTGGTTAGTGTTCCCGTTTATATTAATAATATTCTCTTTGATTCTATTTACAGTGAGGGGAGGGTGTGGCTTAGTTTAGCTCACACGACATTTGACAATGAAGATACTGTGTTATTATCATTATAGCTTGGTTTATATGTTATCAGTTGCACTTTGTGTGCATGTAGCTATTCACATTGACAGCAAACAGCGCTGTATGTTGTGGGCTATAACTTGCAGCGGGGAAATGGTTACTTTACTTTTAACAGCCTTGGGGGTTTGAGGTAATAGCTGAAGTAGTGAAGTGGAAGCATTGCTGACTTGGACAGTTTGTTTTTTTTGACATTTTTGCATTAAAGGGACACTATAGGCCACCAGACCTCTTCATCTCATTGAAGGGGTCTGGGTGCAGTGTCCCTGTCCCACTTAGTTTTTGAGAAATTGCAATGATTACATTGCTGGACTAAGACAGCCTCCAGTGGCTCTGAATTAGACAGCCACCAAAGGAGTTTCCGGGGTTCAAATGGACTCTGAGTCCCTTAAGCGACAGTGGACATTCAGTATCGGTGAATTCCCCAGGGGAAAGAATTAAAGGACCACTATAGTGCCTAGAAAACAAAATCGTTTTCCTGGCTCTATAGGGTTTTTCGGACCCACTCCCGCCGGGCTGATGGGGGAGGAAGGGGTTAAATTCTTACCTTTCTTCAGCGCCGGGCTCCCTCGGTGCTGGGGATCTCTCCTCCCTCTTCCGACGACATGCGCTGAATGCGCATGCGTGGCAAGAGCCATGCGCGCATTCAATCAGTCCATAGGAAAGCATTTCTCAATGCTTTCCTAGGCGTCTTCTCACTGTAAAAATCACAGTGGGAAGCGCCTCTAGCGGCTGTCAATGAGACGGCCACTAGAGGCTGGATTAACGGTAGTGTAAACATAGCAGTTTCAGAGAAAATACTATGTTTACAGCTGCAAGGTTTACCATAGATGGACCTTGCACCCAGACCACTTCATTGAGCTGAAGTGGTCTGGGTGCCTATAGTGGTCCTTTAAGGCAATGTTTTCCTTTGGGATGGGCCTAATGCACTCGATGTGCATGCGCATTAGGTACCTAGTAGGAGGTCGCAGAGTGCTGACATCAGCACTGAAATTGGTTAAGTGACTTAAAAAAAAAATTCCTTTAAACTGTTTATATGCCAGATGGTGTGCTACGAAGGAGGTGGGGGCAGAGGGCACTATAGTGTTAGGAATACAGATTTGTATTCCTAACACTATAGAATCCCAATCCAAAATATTCCCTCGAAGTACAGGGATGTGTATAACAAATGAGTGCCAAGGCATGAATAAAAAAAAAATAAAAAGCAGCTCTATACACTTATGTGGAAATATCCTCTGATCCACAAGAAATATAACAACGGTGTGAGTGAGAAACAAACACCTCTAAGTGGAGCGCTGGAATAAATATACAGAACTTACCAAACTATTCTATGTTGGAAGTTTAGCATAAAATACATGTAAAAAGAACAAAGGGTACAGTATAGTGCAGACGGTTTTTAAAAAGTGGGGTTTAATATGTAGTGTAGCAGAGAAAATACTCACATTTAAAGGAGCCTGTGTATAGGTACTGGCTCCTTAATCAGACCTATGTGCTCTTATGGCAGCACCACCTTTCCGCTTCAGCTTGCAATGATCCTCATTAACAAGACATAAGGGGAGGAGGAGGACCAATGTGTAGACTGTAATAATATCAGATAGAAATATGCAATAATAAATGGGGTGCTCACCTAGTTCTGAGCCTACTGGTCCCGGCTCTAAGGTATACAGGTTCTGTGCCAATTTGGATGGGGATGGCACTACCCATATGAAGATTCCCAGAGGCTCCAAGGAAGGACTTGCTTAGGATGTGTGGATTAAAAATAAAATGTATTATTGTACAATGGCAAATTTAAAAGTGGATATAATATAATAAAAAGTCCTTTAAAATGGCCAATACTATAGAATCCCTTTAGGGACGGTGGGTGTGCTATGCCGTCCTCGGGGACCTGGCACGTTTAGTGGTGGGCGGCATAGCACATCCCCGCCGTTCTATGTACTTGCAGTCGATTGTGGTGGTCTTGCTATGTACTTGCTGTTGTTCTGGCCCTCGTGGGCCATGTGATCGCGAGGTCCTGGCGAGGACCTCATGATCACATGGACGGAACAGCCGTCCACAGCAGTGCCAGCAGGGTACATATGTACATATATTAATATAAAAATACTTATAATTACATTTTTTAAATATATTTATATATATATATATATATTATAAAATATAAATAAGTAATTTAAATTAAATAAAAAAATGTAAAAAAAAAAAATTATATCAAAATACACTTAGAATGAAATTTCATAGATATAAATATATATATTAATATCAAAATACACTTGGAATGAAATTGTGTATATATATATATCTATGTATATATAAATAAAAATACGAAATATACATATGTCCATATACAAAATTACATAAATAAATATACACGTAGACTTCAAATATATAAATATGCATATATATTTAAATTCTACGTGCGTAGTTATGTAATATTTTTACATAATTAAGTAATTTTATTGATTGCAATTTGAGGGACCTGCCTGCCAACCCAGGCCGAAAGTCCAGAGAATTTAATTTGCTAGCACTATATTTTACCCTGTAATGTTCTACGACATTCTATATATATATATATATATATATTTTTTTTTAAATATACATTAAAGTGGCTCGTTAGTCACCAGAATAACTACAGCTTAATGTAGTTGTTATGGTATTTATGCCTGTCCCTGTAGGTTTTTTAATGTAAATACTGCCTTTCCAAAGTAAAGGCAGATGTTCATATTGCTGCCTAGTAACACCTTTAGTGGCAGTCACTCAGACGGCCCCTAGAAGTGCTTCCTGGGTCAGTGCAGCACACTATGTAGCAGTGACGTTCACCGTCTCCACGCTCTGCATGGAGGCACTGAAACTCCTCATAGAGATGCATTGATTTAGTGCAGCACTGTGAGGAGATGCTGGTTGGTGCAGCGTGGCATTTTGCTGTGCATGCGCTTTAGCCTCCCAGTACTCTTATATGGGAAAGCATTGTAAATTTGATGATCTAAGCCAAGGAGCCAGCAGCAGCAAAACCAAAAGGTGCTGGGGAAAAAAAGGTCAGTAAAACATATTTTTACTGCAGGGAGAGTGGGGTGGTAATCTGAACGGCGTTCTTAGAGTTATAATGGCAGGAATACATGTTTGTATTCCTGACATTATAGTGTTCCTTTAAATAACAAATTTAAATTTGTGGCAAATAAATGTGCATACAACTTTTAAATGAATACATGGAAAATGCACGTTTCCAATCAAGGTCGTAGTAAATTAATTGCTGTGTCCTATATGGAATATAAACATATTTATTTATTATTGGCATTTATAAAGCAGGCTAGCCATTTGTTATAAACAACCAAAATTCTATCAGCCAGATTATTAACTACATGTTACATCAAGTACAAAAGATTACAGTAGTAAACTATATGTAACAATGGCAGTATCTTTATAGTAAAGTAATAATCTAGTAACTAAATTAAAGAAATCTGGTTGAATATCTTCTCCATCTCTGTCCGTGCCTTATAGTTGCAGGACCATATGAGCTGCACCACCATGGTTAGCTTAGCCAGAAAGCTTTTGGCCCTCTGTGAGTCAGGAAGCAGTCAAAACATTATATATAGAATGGTTTGACTACTTGCGTTGGAGGGGGGAGTCAGAGGGATCGGTAGTGCCAGGAATACAGCTTTGTTTTCCTGGCACTACAGTATCCATTTAAAGAGCATTGAATTCAATCTCTACATTGTGCTAGCACTTTTATCAGCAAATGTGTAGATTGAGATAAAAAAACTATTTATAAATGTCTTTCTCTGACCTGTCAATCAGTTATTTGGCATGGACTGTATGCTGAAGATTTGATTTATAAGTGAGAGCAGAAGAGACTGCCCATGGGCGTAGCAACCACAGTGCATGCATGGTGGTTGCTATGGTAACTCCCTAGCAGATGCTACTAACCCTGGCTAGGGAGTATAGGAACAGTTACTGACATCACTCGATTCAGATGCTGGCAATGCCACCATGTCAGCGTGGAAGCGTCCCCCATGCAGGATAAGTCAATGAAGATACTGGCGAGGGCGGACAGGAGGTGGGTATTACAGAAATTTTACACCTGTCTCCGTAAGGACAATGCAGCGCGGACGGGGAGGGTGAGGTGAGTGAGTCATGACAGGTTCCCTTTAAGCATAGTGCTTTTGTAATCAACAAATTATTGTATTCTCCACACTGCTAGTCACTCTACTGCAAATTCTTTACGGTTCCACCTATCCTTCTTGAGTTCTTCTGTCTTAATGCTTACCTGCGTTGGTTATTTGTTGGCTTTGGCTTCCTTTTTGGTCCTATCTCCCCAACCTGTCTTACACATAATGCCCTTTAACAATTCTACAAACAAAGGTTGTGACTACACTGAAACAATATGTATAAACTCCCATAGATACAGCTATCAGGGCATTGGTGAAGCTCTATTGCATAGTCTCAATGCCCTGAGTTTACTTTATGTGGCACAAGGCAGTTTAATGATCAGCTTGCTCTGTACATTCTGGCGACTTGGTCTCCAGTGTCCCCATATGTGGGGCAGCAGGTAACAAACCGGTACTGTTGGGAGGTATACATATGTGTCGTTTGATACTTTTTATTTTTATTTTTTTACTTATCCATGCTTGGCAATGGCTTATTCCAGGCGTTTTGCACTTGATTACTTGTCATATTCCATACACCACAGGTAAATTGTATTTGTTCGTGTCTCTCTGTATTTCAACATTACAACTATGCCATTTGGTGAATAAGCCAAACTCATCAGCGATTGGAGTTTGCAAGCAATCATGAAAAAATATTATTTATATTTTAGGTGGTCTTGCTGAGGAGGTGGATGAGAAAATTTTGCATGCAGCTTTTATCCCTTTTGGAGATATCACAGACATTCAGATACCACTTGATTATGAAACTGGTAAGATAATGCAGTCTTTCTAATTTTCCCAATTTATGTATTCACTCTTAGTATCAGCCCACATATAATATCATCACTAATTTAAAAACTTTTGACTGTTTTGTTCCCTTAAATGGTTTGATATGCTGAAAGGTAGAATGCTCCTAGGAAATGTGCTCTGAAAACAGCGAGATTGCAGTTACAGTATGAAGTGTCAATACTGTAAAGGGAAAATTCAAAAAATATACTAGGCTCCAGTGGATAGGTCAGTCTAGGCAGCTCACTCTCTGAAATGGTTGCTATTGTGAAAGGGCCAGCTGGGAATATAAATAAACAGTAAGTAAAACATTTTAACTATAGGGCACAATAAGCTATGAACCTCTACTGTGGTGGAGGACCACTGATGTCAACTTAGTTAACACTTCCCTTGGAGTGGGATGTTTGAATCCAATTTTAGATGCGCCTGTCTTCCTTATACAACTGACTTCATGAATGAGCTTGTCACAGTGAGATGCACAGAGATGCTAGTGACCCCAACAGGTTATCCTGCATGATAGGAGTACTTTGGTGCCATTCACCAGTAAGAGGGCAAGTCTTTTTACAATGATTTGCTATCTTCCCTGGTCCTGCTGGGCACAGACTCCAATATAGGCAGGTTTATGACATCTGGCTTCTGCAGAGCTGCAGAAGCCGGATGTTGATCCATCTGATTATTTATTGGCTGAGAGCATCAATGAATGAGAGTCTGTGCATCAACGTTTGGAAACAATTGACATTAGCTGGCTCGTAACTCTTGTTCAGGGCTGGCTGCTAATGCCCCCTACTGGAGGTGAAGTTGCAGCTCCAGCAGCAAAGGGGTTAAACTTGGTATGTACAGCGTTTGACAGTAAACTCCTACACATACAGGCAAATTGGTCCATGATCTGTTTCAGATATCACTTAGTTTGAAATTGTTAGATTAAAATAAAAAAGGACTTACAGTATATACTCGAGTATAAGTCTAGTTTTTCAGCACATTTTTTGTGCTTAAAAACCCCCACTCGACTTATACTCGAGTCACTGTCTGTATTATGGCAACTTAGAGAGCCGCGGCCGTCAGAGCCATGGCAACGATCCGCGCGGCAACCAGACCGCGAGACTTACAGTGGAGCTGACCGGAACGGAGGAGAAGGGAGCTGACAGGAGCTGCAGGAAAGGTAAGTAAATGCTTCCTGCTGGCCCCCCCCCACTTCACAGCCCATGCCACTGGACCACCAGGGATTAAGATAGCCCCCCTCCCTGACCAGTTAACAAGCAGGGAGTGGGGGACAAAAATTTTTTTTTAAAAAAAATATTAAAATAAAATAAAAATTTAAATAATAAAAATGCCCTCCCCCCACCCAGTTCACACACACTACACAAACGCACACTCTGCATTATATACACAGAGTGTGTGTTTGTATGAGTGTGTGTGTGTATATAATGCAAAGTGTGTGTTTGTATAAGTGTGTGTGTATATATAATGCAGAGTGAGTGTTTGTATGAGTGTGTGTGTATATAATTATAAAAATCACAGAATTTCATAGCCCCAAGTTTTACCCTCGACTTATCCACGAGGCATAGCATATTTCACAATTGTTGGTCACAAAACTGCACTCGACTTATACATGAGATCGACTTATACACGAGTATATACGGTATACCAGCAGACTTTGAATAAAGAAAGAAACAATCGTTAATAAAATTGTCAAGTGTTTGTTATAGCAATAATAATAGCCAGGCCCAGCTGTCATGTAATTTACTTGGAGTTGGATTTCCTTATTATTAGTATGATTGGGATTTGGTTTTACTGCACCACAATGTGTTTTCTTCCCTTGTAAACAGATCCATATGTATTCTGAGGATTTATTTTACAATAGTACATGTTATTGTACTTTTCATGATTTGTTTAACTTGTTATATACTGATTGACAATGCATGTTATTTAGTGTTTTCTTTTTTTTTTTTTTTAAATAGAGAAACACAGAGGATTTGCTTTTGTGGAATTTGAAATCCCAGAGGTAAGCTATTCCTCTGATATTCTCAGGTTGCAGATATATTCTTTTATAAAAGTTACATTCAGAAACTATACTTTTTGATTATTCTACAGTTTGTACTCCGTCCTGTTAGCATCATTAATATAAAGTTACACATGCACAGCAGGCTCCCTGATGTGTAACATCTTAACAGGTGGCAGAGATGTCACTGCGGTTGATGTAAAGGATGCTGTTGATTAAGCTGGTTGATCTAGAACGGTCAACGGTTTGATTATACATAATTGTTTGCACCATGTTAGTAACATACATTGACTTGGTTATGGTATTAAAATACATTTTCAGAATTCTAAGAAATCTATTTATCCAGATGTTTAATATAACTCCATTTGTAATTTGATTTTTTTTTTTTTTTCTTCTAGGATGCTGCTGCTGCTATTGATAACATGGTATGTCTAATTTGCCAAATCATGCTGCTCCTTCTTTACATTATTGTGTGATTGTTGTGAAAGTCATTATAATCATACTTATAAAATACTTTAATTTGAGTTTTTTGTCTGAATATAATGTAATGATTAGTATGTATTGGTTATTGTGGATGAACGTACATTATATTTTTTTTATTTCATAGAATGAGTCAGAATTGTTTGGAAGAACGATACGTGTCAATCTGGCTAAACCCATGAGGTTAAAAGAAGGGTCTTCCAAAGCTGGTAAGTGCTAATTACACCAAACACTGTATATATAATTGTCATGTAAAGACTGTTCATGTCCAGTAAACCACAGGCTTTGTAAATACCCAACAAATATGCAAAAGTATAAATATGTTGTGAATGGTGGTGGGGTGCAACTCGGTATTACATCTGCAAACTTCTAAATGAAGAAATATCACAAAACAGAATCTCAAGGTGGCTTCACCACCATGTAAAAATGTATAATTTAAAAATGTTAATTTAAAACAAGAGTTAATTTGGCAGTTACCCTTTACAAGTAATTTGCCATTACGCTGGTCATCTATACAAACACTTTACACATAAAGTCCCCTGCGTGCAAAGTTGGCTTCTATTGGCTGTAGTGCAATTGGTTGTGGCTGTATTTTACTTACAGTCTCTCCTACTTTGAGCAGTCTATTTCTGGTTGGTAATGCATGGTGTAGGACAAGCTCTTGCTGCAGGCTTTTGCTACAGCACAACTAAAATCCTGCATATTAAGAAAGGTACATTATCAATCACAAAATCCATTGGGTTTACATTCACAACAGTGACCGTTCATCTTGGGCTTCAATTTGTGTGCAAGCAGTTTCATTTTCTTTCTTGTTACTGACCTGTGACTGGATACCCTCACAATTTCTTTGCATTTTTTCACTGAAAACTTCAAAGACAACTGCATAATGGTTAAAGCACCACTATAGGCACCCAGACCACTTCAGCTCAATGAAGTGGTCTGGGTGCCAGGTCCATCTAGGATTAACCCTTTCTGCTGTAAACATAGCAGTTTCAGAGAAACTGCTATGTTTACAAATGGGTTAATCTCATTGACAGCCGCTAGAGGCGCTTCCGCGCTTCTCACTGTGAGGGAGCCCGGCACTGGGAAAAAAGGTAAGGGATTAACCCCTTCCTCTCCATTCAGCCTGGCGGGAGTGGGACCCCGAGGGTGGGGGCACCCTCAGGGCACTATGGTGCCAGCAAAACGAGTATGTTTTCCTGGCACTATAGTGGTCCTTTAATAATGAATATACAACTGAAATCGAATTTCCCTTTTTTACAAGCAGATTTCTGGTTGTGGCTGGATTGCTTTTTTTTAATTGTCTTTCATGCCTTGGGTAGAAAATAATCAATATTCCTGTCATCCGGTTAGTTTGGTCTGATGATGACTGGCTAAAGAAGTTCTCTGGAAAAACATTGGAAGAAAATCAAGAAGGGGAAGTAACAGATGCATCCAAAACAGAAATTAAAGAGGTACCATTGACTTTCTAAAGAGAACTACATTTCATGCACACAGTTTTTTTTGTTTTTTTTTAATGAAAGACAAATTATATAAGCTTTTATGTTTGTGTGTGCCATGAATAAATGTCAAATTAACTTTAAATTGAATTTTATATTTCTGATTTACGGTACATTTACCCCATATGAAAGTATGCACATACGCATTAACACATCATATTCCATTTACAATTTAGTTCTTTCCCATCTCATTCTTAAACTGCTGTACACCCTTTGGTTGATCTTGGGATTATTTTTACGTAATGACTAATAGTAAATATTTACTCACTGTTCAGATGATATTATTTAACGAATAAAAATAGAGAAATAGAATCTTCTTTGCGCACTTTACTGTAGGCAGCTTCTAAGCAGCTTCTAAGCTATAAAACACACCTGGAAGTGTATGTACAAATTTAATTAAAAGCCATACAGAGCCAAACCATTTTAGGAAGAAATATAACCTTGTGTGCCTGTGATATATTATACTGTTCTATACATCGTATATTAGCTTGTGTTTTACTTCAGTTCCAGAAGCCATAGTGTTTTTGGCTGAACTGAACTGAACTTTGAACTATAATAAATTTGTCTCAATGATTGAATTTGAATTGATTTGAATTTTGTAAATGTTTGAATTTTTTCAGGGAGAACCACCTGCAAAAAAAGTACGTGCAAACCCGCAAGTTTACATGGATGTTAAGATAGGGAACAAACCTGCTGGTCGCATTCGATTCTTGCTTCGAGCTGATATTGTGCCGATGACAGCAGGTATGTGCATAATTCACTTGTACGCTGCATTGGGTGAAGTTGCCTGAACACATTCAGTGTGATAACGAGCGGTATTTTACGAGTGTATGTCTGATCTTGTGGGGAGTGTTTTGTGTTCAGTACAAGGTTTTTTTTTTTTTCTCTTCATTACTGTTAGTGTTAAATATATCAAAGTACTGAAGCAATAACATTGGAACACTTTAGGCAAGTCCTCTTCTCTGGATATGTCCTATTTGCAAGTAAGCAAAAGGGTTGACAAAGTGATTCCATTAGACATCAGGAAAGTAAAGATTTAAAAATATCCATGATCGGGTCTTTTCTATGAATAGCTGGTGTCTGTCAGTAGCACACATAGCATTCTGCAGACAGACGGCAAATGGAGAGATTACACACCTCCTCAGTCTGTCCTCATTGTCATCCCTTCCTCTCCAGTGGGAGGGAATTATGTCACCGGAGGAGGATTGGGCTGGCAACTTGTCCTCCCTTTGGAATGGAGGTACATTTTAGCTTGATTCCTCTTATGTTAGGAATAAATTTATGTATTCCTAGTGCTATAGTGTCCCTCTACCTTCCTTCTCTGTTCTGCTCCCTCCCTGGCTGACGTTATCAAGATTGATGATCTCAGCCAATACAATGCTTGTCCATAGAGAAGCACTTGGAAATGTACAGAACAAACACTGTGCTGCACCAGTCAAATGCTTTTCCATGAGATTCAATGATAACATTGGCGTTCCTGAAGAGTTGCAGGGTTTAAAAGACATACAAAGCACCCAGACTATTTCATTGGGATGGAACAATCAAGGTGCCTATAGATTCCCTTTATTGATCAGTTGTAACTAATAAAGCTACCACTAAACTGAATTGTAGCAAAACTAAATATGAATGGCTAAACTGTAACTAACTCTTGTAGCCTAAGGTTTGCCATTTAAAATTTCAATTTGCTACAATTTGGAATCTAATCTCAAAGAGCAGGAATAAAAATTGGGGTTTGTCTCACATTTGGCACTGGTTTTTAATACACTTTTAAAATTATTTATTCAAAATGTTTATATATATAAAAAATTATATTCACACACACAATATATTACATTTACATTTTTTTTAACGCTTACTCATTGAGGCCCACGTCTGGAGAGGTACTTTTTTGTCTGTTACTTACTATTTATTTGTTATAAAAAAATTCCTTAGTGATGCTAATCTGTAAACAACTATTTTAAGCAGTTTGATTACCTGTAAAATAATTGGAATATATTGCAAATTTCATGTCCTTGTTTTAGGCTTAAGGGATTTATATGCTAAAAAGCAGTTGTTGGAAATTGACAGTTGCATATTTTAAGCCAAAATAGTTGTGCTGTAAAATGCTCTTCTGCATTTTTGTTTAAAATTTGCAATTCCATGAATCCTTATTTCCCAATACTACCATGTTATTTTAATAAATGCCAAATTTGTCAATTATTCAATAAGAGGACCTAAAAATGATATCCTTCAAGATACACAATTATTAGGACATTTCTCTGCTGTCCAGAGAACTGATGACATATGTAAATGCTGATAATTCTACTTCCTGTCCATAGAAAACTTCCGCTGCTTGTGCACCCATGAAAAGGGATTTGGCTTCAAGGGCAGTAGTTTCCACAGAGTCATTCCGCAGTTCATGTGCCAGGCAGGAGATTTTACCAATCACAATGGTACAGGAGGGAAATCTATATATGGATCCAAGTTTGAAGATGAAAACTTTATTTTGAAACACACAGGTCCAGGTATGTAGTCGCTCCTGATACGAGACTATGAGACAATCCTTTTGTTTTGGTCTCCCTGCAGCTTTGTTTCTTGAAATATTTCTGCTCAATATAAAAGTCATATGCTAAATTTCAGTAGTCTAGGATTTCCCAGAAGTACATTTTTACATTTTAAAACACTAGAGGCATCCAAACCACTTCATCTCACTGAAGTGGTCAAAATGCACGGTCTCTGTCTCCTTAACCCTTCAGCTGAAAACATTGCAGTTTTAGAAAAAGATACTTTAGAGGTGAAAATAGAAACTTATTCCTGATGTATGCAGAAAAGATTAGTTTAACAAAAATGAGGAAGCATTAGCCTGAGCAGCATTGGGATGTGGCTGAGAGTGTCATCTGACTGCTTTCCACCAATAACTGTTCCCATTGCTGTTATGAATTGATATGGCTTGAAGGAAATGTATAATCTATGCCCTAGCCATACTTCCAGTAGGGGCCTGGCTGTGAAAGGCAGGATCCATTCACTCCATGTTAAATTGCTTGAAAATGAGTTAACACTGAATAGAAGGACAGTGCCAGGGGACTACAGGCACAATAACAAATTCAGCAAGATGAAATGGTTATAGCGCCTATTGTGCACTTCAATATGTTTTATGCCTAAACGATTCATAGACTGCACTGTAACCATAATAGTAAGCTGAAGTGTTTATAATGCTTAGAGTAGTCCTTTAATCAAAGTTCCACATAAAAATACACAATGATTTGGATAAATTGAGGGACTGGACAGGCAGGTGGCAGAGGAAATTCAATGCAGATAAATACAGTCATGTATTTTGGGGGAAAAAAACCACAAACATCTTATACATTAAATGGGGTTGAATTAAGTATAACATTAAATGAAAAGGACTTGGGAGCTAAGTAACAGTATGCAATGCCAGTCTGCTTTTGCAAATTTTAGTAAGGTTCTTTCATTAAGAAGTGGTATTCACGTGATCAAGATCAAATGTTGCCTCTTTACAAATCAATGGTAAAACCCCAGCTTAAATATGAGGTGCACCTTAAAGGCACAGAAACGCAAAGGATTTGAGCCATCACATTAGGCTCTAGTATATGTGAGTGCACCATCTCACGTTTTATATACATGTAAGGTGTTGTAAATACCGTATTACATTATATTGGTTTATCGGTTTTGTATATATTGACAAAGTTGTTAGAAAACCCTACAAGCTATTGGGTAAGTAATAGAAAGCACTACTCCATTATACACTTTTTACATTATATGAAATATGAATTGCTAAAATCTTCATGAGATTGTGACTAAGATTTTACTTTCCACCAGGATTGTTGTCAATGGCAAATTCTGGAACCAACACCAATGGCTCTCAGTTCTTTATCACTTGTGACAAGACAGACTGGCTTGATGGGAAACATGTGGTATTTGGAGAAGTGATGGAAGGAATGGATGTGGTGCAGCTAATAGAGGTGAGTATTACTGTTGTACTCATATTTGCTAACCAAAATTACATCTAGTACGATAGTTACATCTGTCTGTGTTGCTCTATTGAACTCCTTTCCTTTGTTATTTAAAGATTGCAATTCGCACTGTCATTTCATATGCAATCATTTTTAACTTGTTTCTTGTTATTCCTAGGTGAATGATATAAATTTTTTTTTTTTTTTAGATTTGGATACAAATCCCATTCAGCTAAGCTGAGCAAATCAAATGTTTAATTGTGGGTGAATGAATCAATTCTTTCGTACACTGATTAACAGGCATTTGTTATGTTGAGCACAGCTAATTGGGATTTGTGCATATGTCTACTTTTTTTTTTGGCTATAAAAACGCTTTCCTTTTCCTTTTAACCCCTTAACGCTGTTACGGCGTTCTATGCCGTCCCGCATTAAGTGGGCTTTAAAGCCGTTGCGGCGGCATAGAACGCCTTAACGGCTTTGAGCCTTGGAGAGCCCGGGATACTTACCTACCCGGCGCTCTGCTTCAGGAGGACTGCCTCACAGCCCAGGCAGCCCTCCAACGGCAAAAGAAGCCCCCGGGGGCCATGTGATCGCTCTCAAAGAGCAATCACATGGCCCCCTATAGCTGGCTGTGGATCTGCCAGCAGGGGGACTGTTTGAAATGTCAAAGTCCCCCTGCTGGTGGGAAAGTAAAAATTATTAGACATGTTATAAAATTATATATATATATATATGTGTGTATATATGTAACGTCATACATAGTGTATTTTAATATAAGCACATATTAGTATTAAAATACACTTAGAATGACGATATATATGTAATTACAATAATATTAATAAATAAAATTTAATATAAATTATATATTCATGTGTAATTTCATTCTAACTGTATTTTGTTAATATATATATATGTGTGTAACAAAATACACTTAGAATGACATTATATATATATATATATATATATATATATATATATATTACATTAGTATACACGTAGAATTTAAATACCTATAAATGCATATATATTAAAATTCTACGTGTATATTTAAGTAATCTTTTAGCATAATTATGTGATTTAAATAATTAAAATTTGATTGACATGCCTGACAACACAGGGAGAAAGTGCAGAGAATTTAATTCGCAAGCACTATATTTGACCCTGCAACTCTCCAAGACACTAAAAAACCTGTACATAGGGGGGTACTGTTTTACTCTGGAGACTTCGCTGAACTCAAATATTAGTGTTTCAAACTGGTAAATTGTATTACAACGATGATATTTTAAGTAAAAGTGAGGTTTTTTGCTTTTTTTTTTTTTTTACAAATGAACTGCACTTTTATGGACTATATTATTGTTATATGTTTTACTGTTTTGAAACACTAATATGTGTTTAGTGAAGTCTCCCGAGAATAACAGTACCCCCCATGTACAGGTTTTATGGTGTTTTGGAAAGTTAGAGAGTCACATGTAAGGCTTGCATTTCATTTTTTTGACATTGAAATTTGCCAGATTGGTTATGTTGCCTTTGAGAACGTAAGGTAGCCCAGGAATGAGAATTACCCCCATGATGGCATACCATTTGCAAAAGAAGACAACCCAAGCTATTGCAAGTGGGGTATGTCCAGGCTTTCTGAGTAGCCACTTAGTCACAAACACTGGCCAAATATTAGTTATTTGCTTTTTTCACACAAATACAAATATGAACGCTAACTTTGGCCAGTGTTTGTGACTAAGTGGCTACTAAAAAAGACTGGACATAACCCAAGGTATTGAAAGTGGGGTGTCTACTTTTTCAAATGGTATGCCATTATGGGGGTAATTCTCATTCCTGGGCTACCACACCGTTTCAAAGGTAACATTACTAATCTGGCAAATTTCAGTTTGAAAATGGAACGTTCCAAAACACCATTAAACCTGTTAATGGGGGTACTGTTGTACTCGTGAGACATCGCTGATTACAAATATGTGCATTTTTTTGCAGTAAAACCTAACAGTATTATGACATTCACAGCTAAAATGTCAGACGGAAATACAAATTTAAAAAAAGAAAGTCGTCTTTTCTCAATTTTTTTAAAATTTTTTATTCATAATAAATTATGTTCCATATATGAATAGTTAATGATAAATTAAAGCCCTGTTTCCCCTGAACAAAAAGATATATAATGTGTGGGTGCACTTAATGTGACAGCGGTGAATTACGGTTGAACAGACATATAGCGCAAATTCCAGTTTTTGTTTACGTTTTGTTTTGAAACGTGCACTATTGACTCCGTCCTGAAGGGGTTAAACTCTGTCTCTTTTGGCAGGAGGTTATCTTTTTAATGTATGCATGTTTACCATTAATATCACGTAGAATTGATAAATAAGACACCAGTTTGTGAAGTCTCAGTACAAATGTTCTGGTTGAAAGAGAAAGTGCACTTTACAAAAAATGTTTTTGTTTCTAATGTTTATTTATAATTTCTGTTTTATTTCCAGGCTCAGGGTAGCAAGGATGGGAAACCTAAACAAAAAGTGATCATCTCGGACTGTGGGGAATATGTGTGATGTTTGGTCTTTTTGGTTGTATGATGTAATTATTATATTCAAAAATATTTTGTAAATTTTCTTTTGATAAATAAAACCTCTCATTTTTTTGTGTGTGTAGATTTCTTTCTTTTGTTTAGGGGTCCTTAAATAAAAAATTGCATACATTCATTACTAGTCTAGGACAATTGAGAATTGTAATATTTATTGAAGTCAGTTGATGCTAAAGAGCTGCATACAAGTATAAGTGGCATATGTTCAGATTCAATATGGATACCCAAAAGGTATTTGTTACAGTCTATGAACTATGAATAATATTGAAGTGTATTAAACACAGACATGTTTTGATGGCCACTCTGGATCTTGTCCTGCACACTAGGAAAACAGCCAGTGAGATCATTAACTTGGCTAAAATGTGGGGCTATTCGACCCTCTGGAGATGAACTGATCAGCAAGTTTATTGATCTTAATCAAGATGTTCCAAGCTGTGTACCTAAATAAATCCTGTCCAACTTAGCCTAAAACATAGTCTAAAGCAGCTGCTCAATTTTTTACTAAGCATGCCTATTGGGTCAGTATCAATCTATCTGCATCAGGGCTGCTCGGAGTTAACCCCATATGTACCAGGCAGACTAAAGCTTGAAGCAGGAAATGTGCCCAAGCGCCGCAGTGTGCAAAACTTATCCTGTACAGACTCAAGTTACAACCATGCCTTTAAATCTCCATCCTGTTTAGTTTTCTTATGCCTGTGACTACAGAAGCTTCTATAAACTTGATCTAATTTCTGTCTTTGTTAGGGAACTTAGAAAAAAATGTTTTTCATGATTTAGAATTTTATTCTTGAAAGGTGCAAAAATGTTAAAACAAATGTCAAGTTTCTTTTGTTTATTTTATACATGAACACAAACATTTAGATTCAAGATGGTAACACTAGAATATGTTAGAAGGTAAGTGGTTCGCAAGGGATAACAATGTGGAAATTATATGGCTGTCCTGGGGAAGGACACTTGGGCGACCTGGGGATAGAGGATGACATCCGAAGTTTAGATTCCTTGGTGATACCGGGAATGAGGGAATAGTGATGTATGTGGGAGGAAGAGAGATGACAGTGTCTTTCTGCAAGGTTAAGTGGTAGAGTCCAGGTAAGAAAAAACTGTAAATTGTTACAATACTTACTGTAATTTTCTTTTCCTGGCCAATATCCATGTCAGCATCACTTATGGGTTAGCTACTCCCTCTCAGCTGATAGGAAAGGAATCTAAATTTCAAATTATGGTGTATATAAGGAATCCACCTCCACAGAATAGCAGTCTCGTGAACAAGTCAGTGTAGAAAAAAGGGAGGGTTCGTCAATGCTAACGTGGATTTTGGCCAAGAAAAGAAAAAAAGTATTGTAACAATTTTCTGTTTTCCTGGCCAATCCAAGCCAAAGTAAAGGGTGGGTGATAAAAAATAAAAAAAATTATACCATATCAATGTTAACCAAATTTAATCAAACATTAGTTGCGGAAGTAAGGACATTTCTCCCAAATGAGGAGGCAGATAAGCCTGAAACGTGTAGACGATAGTGCCTCACAAAAGTGTTGAAAGATGACCGGGCTACAGCCCTACAAATTTCTTCTGTAGAAGTATCCGCCAATGAGGCAGAGCCAGCCCTAGTGGAGCGAGTTTTAACACCTTCCGGCACTGGTTTGCCAGCGACTCTGTAAGCTTTCTGAATCACAGAAGTAATCCATCTCCTGATAGTCGAAACAGAGGCAGAACCTTATTGTAATCAAAAAGGTACAATAAAAGTCTATTTGACTTTCTAAATTCTTTAGTACAATCAAGGTAAACACGTCAAGTCCTAACCACATCCAAAGTATGCCAAAGGGCTTCTTCTTCAGAAGTAAGGTTTTCCAAAAAAGAAGATAGGCTAATCTCCTAGTTCAGGTGAAATTAGAAAAGGAACCTTTTTAATGAATATCAGAACTGTCTTATCTCCAAACAATTGAGTACAAGAATGATCAGATGAAAGAGCTTGTAATTCTAAAGCTCTCCGGGGTGAGGTGATGGCAACAAGGAAAACACATATCAGTGTTAAGACCCATAAAGATGGGGGGCGTGGCCTGACCGTGATGAAGAGCGGACGCTTGTGAGCTGAGCTCCTGCTGAACCGAGGCCTCATAGCCGACAGAAGCACTTTCTACGAGCACCAGCTACCCCGAGACGGCACCGGCAGCAGCGGTATGGACAAGAGGACCCCGCGGAATAAACGGCCGTCGAAGACAGGCGCTTCAGTGGCGGACCTCTTTGCAGTTTCCCGCGCATCCCAGCCGACAAGGCAAGATGGCGACCGCCCTAGCCCCAGGACCTCCCCAGTGCCTGAGCACCCGGAGCCCCCCCGGGGGCAAGGTTTACCGGCTGAGGAGACTTCCCAGATCTTGGCACAGCTGCTGGAGGTCAAGGCATACCTGGCAGGGGAGATAAGCAGATCCGCGGCGGAGGTGAAGGCCGAGATCGCGGCACTAGGACACCGCACGGCAGCCCTGGAACACAGGCAAGAGGCAACAGTCCTGGCACACAATGAGGTAACATGTAGGGTGAATAGCCTCACAGCCAGGCTGCTAGCAGCTGAGACTGCTCTGGAAGATTTGGCAAATCGTTCCCGCCGAAATAACATCAGGCTGCGAGGCCTGCCAGAAAAGGAGGGGGAGGGGGACCTGACAGACACGGTCATGGCGATCCTAAAACCCCTAGCACCAAACATTCCAGCCCAACTGTGGCATCTGGACAGGATTCACAGGGCCCTGGGAAACAGGAAGGTAGATGCCAAACAGCCGAGAGATATCATCATGCGATTCCAACATTTCCAAACGAAAGAAACTATAATGAAGAACAGCAGAGAAGGCCCTATCAAGTATAAAGGGAGCACTTTGCTACTGTTCCAGGACCTAGCCCCAACGACACTCCAGAGACGCAGAGAATGGCGACCGATCACCGACATCCTCAGAACCCACAACATAAAATATGCATGGGGCCATCCTTTTAAGCTTATGGCGTTCAAGAATGGCAGACCAAAGATCCTGCCACCTGATGGTGACGCAGTAGCTTTTCTCCAGGCGCTAGACCTCCAGGCTCCGCCAGACCTGCAATGGCAAACGGCGACTCCGACAGACCTGCAACCGCTGCCCAGAGAATGGCATACAGCGGGGGAAAGAAGACACACACCGTAGAACGGACACACACCAGGCACCCGCACCCGAATAGCCTCGCCCAGATGGACATCTCCGGAAGGGTGAGATGACAAGGGACAAGAGGGGCAGGTAGGGACTCGCCCCCATCCCATGGTTTTGACACCACTAACGCCCACAACCAAATCCCATTGCGGGGGGTTCTCCCTATCCTTGGGTACACACAACAAAAAAAAAAAAAGAAAATAGCAACATATATATATATATATATATATATATATATATATATATATATATATATATATATATATATATATATATATATATATAGATATAGGGGGGTTCCGTCCTGTATCCAAAACACTGGGGTGGGGAACAGGGTGGGGCTACAAATCAAAAATAAAAAAAACCCCCAAAAAACAGGACGCTTTTGGGAGGGGGATGTTGGACTCATCTACAAAGAGGACTTGAAGCCGCTTGTGTGGTGATGGGGGTGGGGGGGGGGGATGGGGAAACCCCCCCCCTTGCCCGGGCCCTCGGACATGCACTGATGACTATCAACAACCGAATGGTCACTGTAACGGATCACCTGGCACCCCGACTGGGTACCTCCGTTAAAGGATGCTCCTAGCACTTCCTGAGGACTCTGCAGCAGACACCAAAACCACCGAACCGTAGGAGCATATGAATGCTCTCAAGCATATGAATGCTGTAGACAGTTGAATAGGAACCATACGAATAGGTTTACTCTCCTAGCAGTCAAACTGGAACAGCATACAATAAATCCTTCACCCAATAATGAGACGACACTTCACTTTGAGGGTTAAAACAGGAACTCCTGTACTGTCACATACAGTCTCTTTTATTCCCAATCCACAAACATAGTACAGCCCACAGGGCGTTACAAAACAACCAATCACATCACAGTTACATCCCACATATTCCCTCCCCTTATCCTGAGAGGAAACTCAATTATACATACAGTTAAAACATACTTTCTACCCAACTTTCATAACTCCAAAACCATACATCACATTCACATAAAATTACATATTCACAATCAATCCATTCAGGGGAACAACATATTCAAAAATGGCACAAATCAGACAAGGGGTTCAAAAGTTAGTAAAAAGTCCTTTGTGACTAAATGAAGCATGGCTTTCTGGCCCAAACCAGTTTCAGAGTCTTCTATCCTGGAGATAAGTAATTGAATTATCTCCCAGGACAGACACAAGACTCCATTAAGCACATGGTTGCAAAAAGACACAAAACACTTTAAAATACATAAAGTCACATTTTACACATAACACACAGACATTTCACATATCCCCAGATAGCTCAGGTCTGAGCACACATTATTAAGTGAATGGCGCTCGGACCACACAAATACAGTTTAATCGCCATGGAGCCAAAGTCTTTACAGTCAGTTTCATACGAATGGGCTCCATGGGATTCCTATCTGGGGTATAACACATTCACATAAAGTCTGGTCCATAGTCCAAAGGCAAGAGGCGGGCAAGCAGCCCCCTCCAAGGACACGTGGCGAGGCCGGTTTCGCCACAGTCACCGATACCAGACCCACAGGGCCAATGGGCCATTTTACATAGACATACTTATTTCATACCTATACGCACATTTATACACAAACAGTGAGTGGGGCGACATGACCTACACGTCCACTGGGAAACAGATCTCAAAGAGACCCTAGAGGGCACGGAGTGGAGGGAAATATGGGACGCAAACAAAGCTATTTCCGCGTGCGTTACCCACCAGGAACAGGCCTATAAGACCATGCTGCGGTGGTATACCACCCCAGTAAAATTATACCGTATGCGTAAAACCCCAAACGACTTGTGTTGGAGGGGCTGCGGAACCAAAGGGACGTACATCCATATGTGGTGGGAATGCCCGAAAGCGCAGGCCTTCTGGAGGGAAGTGG